GCTTGAAATAAAAGAACAAATAGAAAGTCTCCACACAGAAATAGAAGATACAAAGAAGAATCTTGTTCTCTGATCGGGCCTTAAAACAACCCCTTGTTATTTCTGGAATGACCATCCTCACTTTCACCTGGGCCAAGGCTCCTTCCTCTTCCTGGAACACTGATCTCTAGAGTCTTCTTTTAAAACTAAGTTGTCCCAGATGTCACCTCTTCTGGGAAGCCTTCCATGGTTTCCATGCCCCTTCCACTCAAAGCGTCCTTCACCATATCACTTAGGTTCAGCACGAATTGTTCTGTCATCTGTCCCTCCCATGTCCGCCAGTGAGAAGACTTTGACAGAAGAGACTGTGTCTTATCCCAGGTGCCTGGCATAGTACCTGGTTTGTAATAAGCACTCAAAAAAAAATAAATAAATAAATAAAAAGGTTTGTTGAATAGATGAATAGATCGATGAATACATGGGAACTTTTCCGTGGTACTCTCTTCCAATGAATACGATTAAGCTCTGTGGCCTGGCATTCAATGACACACACCTTTTTGATACTTGGCTTCCCTTAATACCTCCAACTTGTCTGCTGTACTGGGAAACACAGTGTTTTGAAAGGATCTTTTACTTCCCCACACGCCTATCTCTGCAGGTACCTATGGATGCCCTTCTACTAGCCTCGAAGGTCCTCACCCATTTCTGCTACCAAAATTGTATCTATTTTTACCACCCCACTCAGGTGCCATCTTCCCAGGACCCACCGTCCCCAGTCTCTCTCCCTGCCAGAAGGAGTCTGCCCGCCCCTGGATACACAATACTTCACTCACTCTTTCCTTGTGTTCTTTCTCACCGGCTGCTTTGCATTTTGTTGTTTTTGTTTGTTTTAATGCATTTACAGTATTGTTTTCAAGACTGAAACATCTGTGGGTTCAAATAAATTCACAGCTTACTCATCTTTGCTTCTGCCCGCTGAGCGTCGAGCACAGCCCCCTGAAAACTCAGTTTTGTTTTCCGGGATGTGAATATTAAATAAAATACACTATTTAAAATTTGTTATTTGAAGGACTCCACGGAGGTGACAAGTCCTGTTAGCTGGACCTTCAAGACCTCTTTGGAATTCTGCTTTGTTTCCGCTGTTCTCACCCTGCTCCCGGCCGCGATCGTTCCTCTGGATTCGGTGGTTATCCCCCACCTGCCTTCCTCCCTTCCACCCTCTTGCCTCTCTACCCCCATTCTCTACTCAGCGACCAGCTTGATCCTTGAAAAGCATAAACCAGATCATCGTTACTTCTCTGCTCAAAACCCCCCAGTGGTTTCCTGATCTCCGGATAAAATCCAGACTCCTTACTGAGGCCCAAGAGGCCGGATGTGGTCTGGCCTGCGGATCTTGCTTGCTCTCACTCTGACGCAGCCTCAGTGGCCTTCTTGCCCTCGCTTATCTGCGGCTTCTCGAACTTGCCAAGGTTTGCCCCACAGAGCTTTGCATTTGCCATTTCCCCTGCGTGGCGTGATCTCCCCCTCGCTCCATTCAGGTGAGCTACGCTCTCAATTCTCCCCTCTTTGGGAGTATCCACCATACATGCAAAGTATCAGCCGTCACTCTCCATCATTTTATTTTATGGCTCTTGATACAACCTGAAAACGTATGTCTTTAGTTGCTTAGAGAAATATGTTTGCTTATCGTCTTTCTTCTCCACCAGAATTGGAAGCTCCATAAGGATCTGTTCACTGCTCTATCCCCAGCCACTGGCACAGCGTGGGTACATAGCAGGTGCTCCATGACACTTCCAGAATGACTGAATGCTGACTGTGAACTCGTTGGATGGGGTCTTCACGGACAGAAGCAGCATCCTGTTGCACAGGATTGCTTGCTTGCTACTGGGTTTGGTTGACCTACCTAGAGGGGATGCAATGCGGATGACCCATGTGTCCATACCTAGAGGACAATCCGACTTATCCACTTAGGTGCGACCGGGAGAAGACACTTCTGGGCACGCTTTCCACAACAGACTATGTAATACTCGAGTTCATTCTCTGGGGCTGACTGTGGGCACAGCAGGGGCAGCTGTGCCTCACAGTTTCCTGGGCTCTTCAGTCTCTCCTTTGTCTCAAGGCCCCGGGACCTGCTTGGCTGGCCAGGCCTGGAACAGCACCTGTTGATGAAAGACTCTAGAAGCCCCAGACCTATCCTGAGACTGGCCCTTGCCAGCTTCATGACATCCAAGTGGAGGAACCTTGAAGCCCTGGTGGAACAGTGGGATGGTAGAATGAAGGGAAGAGCTTCGGATTCAGGACATCTGAATTCCAGGGGATCTGGGCAAGCTACCCCTCCTCTCTGGGCCTTATTTTGTCTTTAACTTGACATAGGGGAGTTAAGTTGAACGCATCTGTAAAGTCGTCCTCAGCAGTGACCTCTTATAGTTGTATGAGCTTCATATACGAGATCTACCGGACTAGGCTGTTTAAGGGTAGAGCAGCCAGGAGAGAACCCCACCATGGAAACAAATGAACAGCTGAGTGGTAGGTGCCCATCATGGCCAGCAGGTGGAGCCATTGCTGCACCAGGGTTTTCAGGCCAAAGGTGGGAAGTCTGAGGTTTTAAGAATGCAATGAATCCTTCTGGGCATGCTGTCCAGCCACCAAAAAGAACCAGCTGCAAAGCAACCCCCTAAATACACACACACACACACACACACACACACACACACAGCCCTCTACCTCTCAAAGCCTACATTGGCTGACAGACTCAGGGCAAAATACTACTGTAAGTTGCTGGGCCTGAGGCTAAACCTGTTTCAAAAGGTCCAGGTGCCTTTTCTTCTCTCATGTTTCCCAGGAGACGGCACACTGTCTCCCTGCCATCTTCAACCTGCCAGACCCTCATCTGGTCGCTCTCATGGCACGATGTAACTGGATGGAGGCCGATCTGCCTTCTCTTCCCAGATTACCATCTTCCCTTTCCTCCACCCCTTCCCAGAATCAGCCATCACCTCCTAGGGAAAGCTCTAGATCTCATCCCTTGTTTCCCGCCCCCCCCTCCCCGCCCCACCTCCTTTTCCCTGAGTCCTGCAGAGGAACCTCTGGTTCCAGCAGTTGGAGAAAAGCAAGGGGGAAGAGGGGGTGGGGGAGTGCTAAAGGGAAAGGTCTGGCTTTGGCCAGATAAGAAGGGAAGGATCCTTTGTTTGGCCCCAACTGCCTCTGCTACTGTTGATACACTCAGGAGCGTTTCCTGAAGCTCCTGGGCAGTGTTTGGCAGCGGTCCCTCCCCCACTTCCTATGGTGGGGGTGGGGGGCCTGGGAGCTGGGGGTGCACTTACGGACGTTTTTGGCAGTTAGGCTGGTGTCTTCACACTGAAGATAGAAACCACTCCCTCCCGGAGCTGGCAGCCAGAAGTTGCCCGCCCCAGCCTTCACCGTTCTGCTCCCAGCTCCGGGCAGGACGTGGTGTGGCAGTAAGGCGTGCATGGGGCTCCTTCGCCCGGTTATGCATATTCTGCATACGGTGACCCAAACGTGCCACTTCTCAGAAAGGCCACGAGGCCTCCAGCGCCTATGTCCTTGGCACACCACCCTCCATCCTCACGGCCCCTGCTGCATCCTGGTCTGTCTTTCTGTGACTAGACGCATCCAGATTTCCTGTGAGCTTCCCCCAGAGAGGGAGGCTTGGCCAAAGGGCAGCACCCTGGGTTTTACCTGTGTCCCCATGATGGGCCCACCTCTTTCCTGGCTAGCCCCTCTCCACCGTATCACTGCACAGTCTGGCCAGGTCTGAGGTCTGACGGGGAGACCGCTGGGTCATTCAGACACAACTGGCTGGGACAGTGACACAGAACAGATGTGTCTCAGTATCACTTTAATTACAGTATTTACACACACCATTTTTTTATTCAGAAATAAAACCCACCCAATCTTCCTCTCTCTGGAAAATTCGATTTCCAACCGTCACTGAAACCAGGATCCCTGCTTACCCCTCTGGAAAAAAACTGAAAAATGCAAATGAGAACCTGGGTCACCTACAGAGGAGGTGGCTTGTGGTGAAGGTTCTCTGGAGATGTCAAGGGGCCCTGACTACATGGAGGTGCAGAGCAGTGAGGGGATTGGAGTGAGGGAGACAGAGATCGAAAGGAGTCTGCTGGGAGACTGAGTCCACAGCTCAACCCAGGAGTCAGGGGGAGGAAGGAAGAAGCCATTGAGATCAGAGGATAAGGCCAGGACCTAGCCTCTGAGCAAGGCGCTTCCTCAGAGATGCACAAGTCAAGAGGCTTGGCTCAAAGGTCTGGTCCCATGATCCTGTCCACTCTGACCCACAGGGAGAAACAGAGGCTCAAGATGAGGCTCCATGAGCCCCAGAGAGACAAGGACTGAGCCGTTCGCTCTCTCCCACTTGCCCCCACAGGAAGGAATGCATGGACCCATGTCCCCTAACCCTGTCTCCCAAACACACACACAAGACGTTGTTCAAAACTTGGAGCCTCGTTCCAGGCTCAGCCAGAAAACGTAGCAGGCTTCTGTATGCAGATGTGGAGGGAGGTGTGGAGCTCAGGGGAAACCGGAAAGCATGAGGGAAGCCGGTGCCTGAATCCACAGTGCCTTGGCCAGGGCATAAGGGGGGCGGTTTAGGATAACAAGTCTTTCTGGCTGCATCATTACAAGGGAGCAGGCGCACTGGGTTGCTTTGGTTTCCTGATGTAGAGAAGACAGATCTGAGGAAGAAACAGGAAAAGGCAAAGCCTCCTGGGAGGAAATTGTAGCCCAGAAAAGGCCCATGCTTCCCCTGGGAGTTCCTTTAATATGGCAGAGAGGAGGGAGAGGACAGAAGCCCACGTGTGAGTGATGCAAGATCATCACCTCCCACCCCCCAACCCTGGTAGCTTCTCTGCACTTTGGCCTCCCCTCCCCCCACACCTTTACTCAGAGTCGACCCAATTCTGGGCTTAGCGAGCTGAACATGTAAATGGCAGGGGTTATCTCCCCTCCACCAAGGTGGAGAGAACCCTTCGGCCCGGTGCAGTACCGGGCCCCAGGAACAGCCTCCGAGGATGTGTGCAGCAGGTAAGAGTAGAATGCAATCGATGGTGCCTCCAGCGTGGAGGCAGCATGTGGTCAGATGCAGGGAGGGGCCCCTTCCCCAGACACTGCCCAGCCTTGCCCCACCCAGCCGAGTCACAATTCGGTATCAGCCACCACGTGTTGTCTTGCTGAATGGCCGTTTCTGGATGTGGCCTGGCCGGTCCCGTTCTCCTGAGCCCCTCGGTTCACACTGGCCTTTCCCTGAGCCTCAGGGGAGGCCCCAGGGCCTGAGCTATAGCCCTGGCCTCCACCGTTCTCCGTGTAATAAGGGTCTTCGCCCTAGACAGTGTATAAATAAAGGAGCATTATCTGGTAAGCAGGGGAGTGAGGCAGGGGTGGGGGGAGATGAGGTGGGAGGGAGAGAAGGGGGCTGCAGCTGCATGTGCAGACTCCTTTCTTCCTGAAGAGCAGTCAGGGTTCCAGCTCCTAGAGGAGAAAGGACAGAGGAGAGGCACAACACCGTGCCACCGCAACTCCATAACCAGCTCCCGCCAGACACCAGGCAGTTCCCAGGATGGAATGCCCTCCCCAGAGTGGGTAGCAGGCCAGAAGCCAAGAGTCAAACCCCAGCCTTGTCCTCCCTCATCCAGAACACTCCAACAGTAGATTTTCCTTCCATAAGGGCCCTTCTGGTGAGCTAAGTGGCACCCACGGACATTTAATATACATGTCAATAAGTGTGATTGATTTAGCAGCCTGTTCTGGTATACCCAGCTGAACTATCCCGGGCAAAATCATAAACGGATGACATGAGCCATCTGCTGCCACAGTGAGCAGGTGGGCTGGCCCCAGTTAGTGACTCCTTTCCAATCTGCTATATATTATTCAGACTTGTCCATGGACATGGTAATGTGCATTCTGCACGTCCATGTGTAAAAGCACGGAAGTACCTTTCCTGGTATGTCTCCTCCCCATTCCAGGACATTTATGGACCTCCCCAGAAGACCACTATCTTCCTCATTTCCTTTGCCCTGGACCCCCAAACTGACCAGCCTTTCTCCTGTGGGGCTCCAACTGCGGCGCTTCATCAGGAAATAGCCAGTGGTGCCCAAGACAGCCAGTAGGATCCCTGAGGTGACCAGGGCAATCAGGGTCTTGCGGGAATAGACCTGGTGGCTCCCAACATCTTGTTCAGAGAAGGCTTTGATCCCAAGCTTGAAGGGAAGACAGAAAAGACAGCCTGTCACCTGTGGGATGTGAGTTCTAGAAGAGAAGCCCAGCCCACGCTAGACCCAACAGCGGATGAACACAGGAAGTCTTGGACCTCAGGGATTTTTCTAAAGAGGACTTAAGACTGACATCTTTTAAAACCATAAAATTTTGGTTCAAGCTCAGACAGGTAAGGACTGTTGGAGAAGGGCGGAGAAGTAGGAAGGACAAGTCTAGAAAAGATAAGTACTTTCTCTTCCACTCCAGTGACTCCCCTGACCCAATTTTCCCATTGAGAATTCCCATCACCTTAGAGAACTTACCCTTTTCAGGTCAGGCTGGTGCTTTTTCAGAAGACGGAGCTTACTGGAAAGTTCTAGAATGAGAAACAGGGATTGCTGAATCTAGAAGCAGGAAGAGCTCATCCTCCTGTGCCCTCCTGTGATGTTCTAGATGATGCTCTGATGCCCAGGGTGCTCCATCTCCCAAAGTCAGCCTGGCTCTTCTCCCCAGCACCTGTGCTCTTTGAGCTAAGATACCAGATTTCTACCCAGGATTGTCTAACCTCAGCCCCACTCCCTCCCTAGACCCCAAGACAGATGCACCCCTTACCTGTCTTGTTGGCCAAGAGCAGCAGCAGGCAGTGAGGCTTCGCTTCAGACTGGGCCAGGAGCAGGGAACACATGCCAGCCACAGTGTCAGCCTGCCCCTTCTCACACAGGACTTGAGTCAGTTCCTCTCCATTATCCTTCTTAAATTCCTCCTGGCAACATAGAGAGAAATGGGGAACAGAAGACGAAATTATTCATATACCCTGAGCTGCATCCAGAGTCTCAGGTAGTAATCCTGATGAAAGTCACACTATGACTCTCTAAACAAGAAGGATCCTTTCTTCCTAAAAAATTTAACTGGGAAAAAAAAAAAAAAATCCGGTGAACTACAGATGTGCCAAAACACAATAAGAAAAAAACTCAAAAATTGCCCCGTCCCGAAACATCTATCAGTGTCCTAGGTGGGGCTGTAAGAGGACCAGAGCAGAAATTCAGGAAACACTGTCTTATTTAAGGATTGCCCATGGACACATACACTATTTCAAATTAAATTCAAACAGCAAATATGAATAGTGTATTACTGATGGAGAGAAAATCCTTTGTTTCAAGATTATAAAAGCCCCAAGTGTTGGAGGAAAAGCCAAGGGAAGGGAGTAGAGAACAAGTCTATGGCTATAGACCCAGTGGCATCCTTGGGCCCTTCCATCTTACCCCCCAACGGGGCTCACGAGGAGCATGGTTGAAACTGAAATGGTGTTTTTGTCCAGTCTACCATCCCCCTTTCCCCACTAAAAGCATGGAAGCCAGTTTTACATGAGGTCCACAGATGGTTCCAGTTGCTGTCTGGTCCCGAGGACTCAGGAACTTGGCCCCAGGAGATAAGCTCTCATGATTCTTTGCCAGTTGAGTCCTGGGACAGAGATGAATTGGAAACACTGGCTGTGCCCTTCCAACACCCTGTTCTCACACCTCCCAGGATGTGTTCCAGCAGCTTCCAATCAGAGCGGCCTCCCCTGCACAGGAAAGGAACCGAAACCAAGACTCTCTCCTCTGTCCGGATGGCAGATGGTGAGGAGGAAATGCCTGAACGGCTCCGACAACTTTCCTGTTCGGGGAAAACTGCTGGGGCGTGTGAGGGGCATCCGAACTGAGCCTCCGTGGAGGAGACAGCTTCCTGTTTGTGGGGCAGGACTGCTCCTTGTGGGCCTCCCAGCTTGGAAAGCAGCCTGGGTATTTTCCTACTGCTGTGGCCCACGGCAGGAAAACCCAGGATCCTTTGCTTCTGCACATGGCAAGGTCAGGGTTGGCCTCAGGCCCCAGCTTTCTTCTATCAGCTGGACTTGAAGGGAGCTGGGTGGAACTCAATGGGCTTGGAGGAGGCCAGAAGAGCAGGGCTAGCTAACCTTCAGGTCACAGAGACAGGAGTTCAGAGGTAGCCTCAGAAGCCCCTCAAGAACCAAGGGCACAGAAAAATGCACTCTCAGGGCACTGCTGCTTCAACTCTCAAGAAAAGGTCTCTAAGGGGGCCTACTGGGTGGCTCAGTCGGTTAAGAGTCCGACTTCTGCTCAGGTCATGATCTCACAGTTTGTGAGTTCGAGCCCACGTTGGGCTCTGTGCTGACAGCTCAGAGCCTGGAGCCTGCTTCGGATTCTGGGTCTCCCTCTCTCTTTGCCCTGCCCCCCACTCACACTCTGTCTCTCTCGTTCTCAAAAATAAATAAGCATTTAAAAAGCAAAGCAAAGAAAAGGTCTCCGAGGAAGTACTTGGATAGAGGCTCTGTCTCTGGAAAAATCTGGCTCTTGAAAACAGCATTTGCTGTGGGCATTCTGGATACCACTGGATATGATCAGCAGTGTCTTTCTTCTCTAGGCCCCTTTCTCTTTGGGAGCCTAACGTTGCTTCCCTGGGAGCACCCTCCCAAACACCATGCCTTCTGGATGAGGAGGAGGGAAGTCCCCTCCTGGACAACTCTGGCCTCCTGGAGCGTCTCTGGTTGAAATCTATCTCTCCAGAGAGAGGCAGAGGGACAGGGCTCCTGCACAATCTAAACAAACCACACAAAATGGCACGTCCTCAACCTGCAGAGTCCTAAGAAGCTGCACCTTAACCATATTCAGCTCTTCTGACATTTACCAAGCCCTGAATGGAAGACACTGTGTGCAAATCTCTGCACATGTATCATGGGGGGGGGGGGTAGCTATGAATTCCACATAGCCAAAGCTCTTAGTTTGCATGCATGGCAATGAAAACAAATGATGGTCACTATGTCTCAGGCACTGTGCCAAGTGCTTTACATATAGTGACTCATTTAGACCTTGTACAACCCTTCAAGATGGGTGTTATTATTCTCCCCATTTTAGAGATGAAGAAACTGAGGCACAAAGACACAAGTGACAGAGCTAGTTACACGGTAAGTACCACGAGGAAGGTACAGCTAAAGTTCTATGGACATTCAAAGGAGGGTGAGCATACCTCAGGTTGGGGGTTATCAGAAACACCTCAAAGTAAGCCTTGAAGAATGGGGAGAATGTGTGCAGGGAAAGCTGGTCAGGAAAGGCCTTCAGATTGAGGGTGCCATTATGGGGAGCCCAAGTGTGTGAGAGCCTGTGACCTTCACAGCCCTGCCTATATGAAAAGGAAGAACATGGCCCTCTTCCTTGGAAATCCCATCCTTCAAGACTCAACTCAAACCCCAGCTCCCCAGTGAGACTGGCCCTATCTCCCATAGACCCGGCATCAATCTTGCCTCTGCGATTGACTAGAGTCTTTGCAAGACATACAACTAGTCTGAGCGTGAGGTTCCTCAGTCGAAGACTGAGCTATGACTAAAGCGGTGTTGTATAAAGAGCCCCCAACAAAGTGCGTGGAACCCAATGCGCACTTGACAAAGGGCAGCTGGTATTGTTACCATCAATGATAGTAATATACCATATACCGTAGCCCTTAGAACCCACACTTCGGTGTCTGATCATCTTCTGCCTTACTGTCATTGCCATTTCTCTCTGACTAGACAGTACGACTCCTTAATGGGGAGAATGGGCGTACGTTACATAATTTTGAACCCAGAGGACACTAAACGTAGCACCAAACAAACAGAAGAACCCAGTGAATTGTCGTTCAGCTTAAAGTTCCAACTGGTCTGGCTTCCACGCAGGGTCCCTCCACCCTTCACTTAGTTTCTTGGACTAAATTCAAGGGAATAACAGTGGCCAGCCTCCCACTCTGGAATCCAACAGCATCAGTGAATTGTGTTTGAGCCTGGAGAGGAGCAGGTGGATCCTGAACAAAGCACAATGCTTCTCTGGACGCTTGAAATAAACATCCTCCCCCCAGAGAGGCTGTGGGCAGATATCATGGGAGAGTGGGCAGGAGGAAGCCACAGACTGCCATTTTGCTCATGAGAATCAGATTTGTTAGCCCCTAACCACATCTGCTCACACATGTTGCTTTGCAAAAATAATAACTACAATGATAAAACCATCTAACCTTTCTAGAGCAGCATTCTCAAACTTTGCCAAGACTCTTAACATGTTAAGGAAGCATGTTCATTAAGCACTTGGAGTAGGGAGAGAGGGACAGGTATTTTTCCAAATCATCCTTAAAATTTTTTCCCAATGTGGGGCGCCTGGGGGGCTCAGTGAGTTGAGCGTCAGACTCTTGATTTTGGCTCGGGTCAGGATCTCAAGTTTCGTGAGTTTGAGCCAGCTTTGGGCTCTGACCTGACAGCCAAATCTGCTTGGGATTCTCTCTATTCTTCTCTCCCCGCCCCTCCCCCGCTCGCGCTCTCCCTCTCTCAAAATAAACTTTTTTAAATGTTTGTTTATTTTTGAGAGAGCGACAGCAGACAGACAGAGTGTGAATGGGGGAGGGGTAGGCAGAGAGGGTGACAGAGAATCCGAAGCAGGCTCCAGGCTCCAAACTGTCAGCACAGAGCCTGATGGTGGGGCTCGAACTCACAAAACACGAGATCATGATCTGAGGAGAAGCCGGATGCTCGACCAACTGAGCCACCCAGGTGCCCCTCAGGATAAATTTTAAGAAATGAAAAAAAAAATTTTTTTTCCTAATGATGAGATTTTTAGGATCAATTTTCATTCTCTCTCCCTCCCTCCCTCTCTTTCTCATTTTATCTATTTTGGTGTGACCTTGACGTGGCAGGTAAAACCCTGTTTTCATTTAGAGACTGGAGTGAAGGACTCTGCTACAAGTCACCCCACCGGTGAGCAGCTGACCACGAGCGAGGAGTAAGACTGTCTCCAGATCTCAGGCTCTCACCAGGAGACACATGGTCTTCATCTGTCCTCCATCTGTAAGTTATTTTTTCTGCATGGAAACTGACCTTTAGTGTTTGGGCAGAGGGCAAGGAAGGCGTGGGCTGGGGGGATATGATCTGGAGGCTGGAAGCAGCCTGCCTTAGATGAAAATACGACAGAATAAGGACGATGAGAGCTAGCTGAGGAAATACGACCTCTGCATGTAAACACAGGTGGCTCTAAAGAAAGGTAGTTCTAAAAAACAAACTAGTGGGCAAAGGGCTTGAATAGAGATTTCTCCAAAGAGGATACGCAAAGGCCAATAAGCACATGAAAAGATGCTCGGCATCACTAATCACTAGCAAATGCCGATCCACAGTACGATGAGCTATCACCTCATGCCCATTAGGGCGCTTACTATCAGAAAAACCCAGAACATAGCTAATGCTGGTAAGAATGTGGACATGTCAGAACCTGTGCCCTGTGGGTTGCAAAATGGTGCCGCTGCTATGGAAACCAGTATGGCGGGTCTTCGAAAATTTAAAAATAGATTTACCATATAATCCAGCAATTCCACTTCCGGGTATGTGCCCCCCCCGCCCCCAAAATGAAATCAGAGTGTTGAAGAGGTATTTGTACACCCATGTTCATAACAGCATCAGTCCCAACAGCAGAAGATGGAAGCGACCCAGTGTTCATTGGTGGATGAAGGGATAAGCATGATGCGGTATAGACATGATTCAGCCTTAAAAAGGAAGGAAATCCTGACACATGCTACAACATGGATGAACCTCGAGGACATTATGCTCCGTGATAGAAGCCAGTCACACAAAGAGAAATACCGTATGATTCCACTCCTATGAAGTACCTGGAGTAGTCCGATCACAGAGGCAGAAAGTAGAAGGGTAGTTGCCAGGGGCGAGGAGGTGGGGGGAATGGGAAGTTGTTTCATGGGTGTAGAGTTTCAGTTCTGGAAGATGAAAAGACTTCTGGAGACTGCACCACAATGCGAACGTTCTTAATACCACTGAACTATATGCGGACGTATACATGGTTAAGATGGTCCATTTCATGTTATGTGTCTTTTACCACCATTAAAAAATTTCTTGGTGTATTTCCCTGGATAAATGGGGGGACAGCATAAGAGAACAAAGTAAGCTCACATTGTGGAAACGATTTGGGAACCCATAACCACAAAAACTAAATTACCCTGACACTGCAGCCGAGAGAATGAAAGTCAGACTCAGAGTGACGGGTCCTGCAAATGAGGGCTCTAAGACGGAGTAGCAGGTGCTTGAGAAGAGGGTAGGGGTTGCCCTCCCCCCCCCCCCCCCCCCCCCCCCCCCCCCCGGCTGATAGGGGTGATTTCTGCCTAGAGGTGAAGGAGGGGGAGCAAAAGGAGAGTAGTTGAGAAATGAATGCCTGCAGGATGCAGGTACAGAAGACAGGCGGAATAATCCACACAGTGGGAGCTGAAAGGTTGGATACTCAGTACATCCCAGTGCAGAGTGAGTGTCTGGATAGCTGAAAACTTGCACACGTATTTCCGTTACGGGAGTACACGGGAGGCAGGAGCACGCCGACATTGCACAAGTACTCAAGGACATAATGTTAGGGGAATTCAAATCCTTCATGCTTCTCCTTAGGGTGTGAGTAGGGCTTGAGTTTCCCACGGTTCGAACCAGTCCCTTAAGGCCCCCTGACACCGGGGGCAAATGCAACCTAAGGAAAACTAGGAGGCACCACGCCACTCACTCATGGCCTTGGGAACAGATTGATGATCAAATAAGCACACAGTAGGACTCAAGGGAAAGGAATCTGAAACACAATCCGGAGCTTTGGCTAGAGATTCTGAACAATGATTGCTGCCCGGGGGGGAAATTACCTTGGGGAGACTTAGGAGGCACTGCTGCTTGGGGACTAGGGAGGAGGAACCCTCAGGAAGAGAGGGGGGATCAACGGTGACAGAGGGGCCAGGGAAAAGTAGCACGACCAAGGGGTCACCAGAGAGTTGATTCACCGTGAATGGTGCAGAGGCCTTCTTTAGCATAGTGGAGGGACTGCTGTCTTTGCACGTCCCTGCTCACAGATGCTCCCCAGATCTCAGAGACGAGAGAGCAGACCTTCTCAGCTGTGGCATGAATGACGAGACAGTAAAGACCACAGAGAGAAAGCAACCACAGTAAGAGGAGTTATTTCTGGAGTAGCGGTCAGTTTCCAGCACTTGTCCTGTATGGTGACCCTAGTTAAATGTGAGCCTTGAAGGGCAATGGACAGACACTTAGATTGCCCTGCAATTGGCTCTAAATCAGTGGCACGCAGAAGCAGCATTTTGGCACAGACCAGTGTGATACACAGGAAAATAAGTGCTTCACCAGGATATTACAAAAAAAAAAAAAAAAAAAAAAAAAAAAAAAAAAAAAAAAAAAAAAAAAAAAAAAAAAGTCGTTTTTTAAGCTATAATTAACAAAGGGTTTGGCGATGTTTTTTTTAATAAGGAGAGTTGAAAATAGGTATCAGAAACACACAGAGTATTACTTGTACTTTGTATGCTCATGTTTAAGTTGACTAGTCTGCAAATTGCACTTAGTTGTTCTATTGTGTGAGCCCCTGTGTTTGCAATTCCTGTATTACTTGTACATTGTATATTCATGTTTAAGTTCACTATTTTGCATCGTGCACTTATCCTATTGTGCGAACTTATGTCTTTGCAATTCCCATTGTTTTTAGAAGTCCTGGGCTAAACAAAGACCTTAGGCATAATTCTAAAAGATCTGTGAGTCAGAATGACCCAACTGATAATCACAGGTACGATATGGGCAGTCAGAATGGACAAAATAAATAACTGAATGCCCTCTACAGACTATAGGCTACCCATGTGCGTGTGTACATGTCACACGTCACACATACAGTTCCCTTAAATGGATTCCCAACTTATAAGGAAATGTTTTTTCCTACAAGTGAATAGGAAGAGTCCTGTCATTCCATTCTTCGTCGAGGAAACTGTAACTGTCAGGAAATTGGATTTACTGAAACAAAGCAAGGACGTCTGCTATCAACATTCAAAGTTAACGCTGAGCTGTATGGTCTAACCAATGCAATAAGATGTGAAACTTAAACAAGGCATTAACTACTAAAAAGGAGGAGAAAAACAATGTATGGTGGCAGACAACATGACAGCTTGCCTTGAAAACAAAAAAGAATCAAGTAAAGAGGTCTTGAAATTAACAAGTAAGTTAAAGAAAATGGCTAAACCTAAGATAAATTTTCAAAACTTTCAATATATGTTGGGAACGTATATTGAAAAGTTGGAAGTTTTCAACTTTATAATATACCAGCAATGATCGATTAGAATATTTAATGGGAAATCTGTATTATAAATAAACTTTAAAAGTCCATAAAGCCTACCAGAAAAACAAACAAACAAACAAACAAACAAACAAACTAGCTTTTAGTTTTTAAAAACTAAAAAGATAATATGCTGAATGATACAAGAGAAGACCAGAAAAATAGAGAGAGACTTTAGAGCAGTTCCAATGAAAATGTTAACATTTCTTTTTTTAATGTTGACAAGATGTTTCTAAAGTTTTTCTAAAACAACAGACAAAAAAATAAACTTTTTATGGTGTAGTGAGCCAAGACCTGCATGGCTGGATATTAAAGAGTACTATAATATAAAAGTAGAATAATTTAAAAAAACTTAAAATAGGCAAAAAATGACAAACTGAACAAAATATCTCTGTAGAATATGCCCTGGGACAAATACAAATTTAATACAAGCTAAAAAACAGCATTCCAGTCAACAAAGGGGATCATTCAATAAACAATGTGAGGAAAGACGGTTATATGGAAAATGTGGCATTACAGCACAAAAGAATTCTAAACGGATTAAAGAGTTATATATAAATAATAAGCAAATTGGCACTTCAGGTCACTAGTGTGTATTTCACTAAGGACTTTCTTAACATGAAAGCAACCTTAAGTCTGACATGTATATATTAAATGTACTACAGAGGAGGGGAAAAAGTTAACTCAATTTTAAAAAAATTGTCCTTGCCTTCTTTGCCCGCCAGATGGGGCCTCTTACTCCCTAAACCCAAAGCTCTGTATTTGAAAGCGCCTGACCAGCTAAGTTCTCCCCACCCCCACCGAAGTCTGGTCCAGTCCAAGAGGGCTTAAGGATGTTCGGAAGGGATTGTGGGAGAAGAGGGAGGAGGAAAGGATAGGGGTGAGGTGGAGGGGAGTTTGACTTACACAGCTGGAGGTCTCATTTAGCTCTAGGCAGATACCTTGGGTCAATTTCACTTCTTTGACTCGGGAACATTTGATTTCTCCCTGTAGTAAAACAAAAACAAAGTAAATAAGCCAGTATCTTTGCCCCTCGTTTTTACCCCCACCTCTTGTCCAGTTTGATTTCTGTGGGGGTACTCTCTTAAGAGGTTTTAGGAAAAAGGAAATTTAAAAATGGCAGGGGACTAGATGTATAAATTGGTGTTAGTCTCTTCCTCCTTCTTACACCCATCCCCATCAGATAATCAAAACTTTTGTTACCAGCCTGGGCTTGCCAACAAGCAGCTCTTTGCAATCTTGGTAAACATGAGCTTGGCTGGTGCAGAAATGGAAGAGGGGACGAAATTTACCCATTGGGGCTGTTCTCCCTGCCGTGGATCATACACATGCAGTGAGGCCATAGAAGCACTAAGGTAATGGGGGTGGCCAGGCTGATCCTGGTGACACTCATTTTCCTCCTGGTCCCCAGGGCTCTCCAGATTCCTATTCTGGTTCCTTTAAAAACAGAAACCAGGCAGGTCCCTTGAGCCTGCCCCCAGGCACCACGCACCCTCATATTTTCTACCCTTCCTGCCCCAAACTGTTGACAGCCACAGACCCCAAGGCTGAGCTCACCATCCTTGGTCTGCCCAGTTCTTCACTGCTTCTCTATACCTGACATACCACCAAACTCTCTCATCTACAGGAAATGGTGGTGGTCCTAAACATTGTTTGCAAGTCGCCCCATTAAATAGAGGATGGTTTCCAAATACGCTCAAAGGGAAATGGTGCCCTGGTCAAAGCCCAGACCAAGAGGTACTAGAAAGAACCACAGCCGACTGCATGGACCCCCAAGAATCCCCCTTTACTTTCAACTCCCTAGAAATGAAATACCCACAGCATATGTCAGCGACCTGTCTCCACTCCTCCCTTCCCCTTTCTATCTTGGCCAGCAATATTTAAGCTGCATATTTTCCATGTTAATTCTTACATGACCCAAATCTGACTGGCTGGGATGAGGAGAGGTTGAGGGGAGGAGAGGGTTTGCATACATACGAAGCGAGGGGGCAATCTGCCACTTTTGGCCCAATTCACCTACCTTGATGGTACTTGGGGTGGGAGAAAATGATGCATAAGGCTCAGTGGAGGATGTCACACTGATGGTGCTGTTATATGGGGGATCGGAAACATTTCCGGGGAGCATGCTGGGCTTCAAAGTCATGTCTGAAGCTGAAAAGTTGGTTGTGGTGGAAAACGCTGTAACAGTTAAAGAGGTCTGTGGCTGGACAGAAGAGTTCCCCGTTCCAGGCACTGGGGTGATCTCAGAGGTAGAAGTGAAGTTGACTGTAGTCTCTGAAATAGACCAAAACACATGTTTTGCATGCACATGTTTTCATACACACACACACACACACACACACACACACACACACACACACCTATACACATCTCAGTTCACTGTCTTGAATTAAAACTTTACAGATAACGATACTGACCTGGACTTCAAACCAGAAAAGGGAATCGCGGGAGTTAAGAGTTACTTCATATCCTAACCCCTACCAAACTCATTTCAAGCCAGCTACTGGAACCATGGCTATCACTGAGAATGTACGAGAGGTGCTTTCAGGATTCTGATGCTGAACTGGAATCTGGTTCACCCCGAAGAAGTCAAAAACCAGTGTGAACCTGTACATACTTTCTTTCACTTAGAAGAGATCAGAGATGTCTAGGGAGTCCTCATCTGATCCTTATTTTATCACTAAGCTGAACTCAGCATGAAAACAGGGTACAAGGAGAGTTACTGGTCAGGATCAGCAGCCAAAGTGTTGGCCTGAGAAAGCCATCACTACAGGAATTGTCAGGAGTCTACCTCAGGGCACCCTAAACATGATGCACAAACCATGCTTCGCAGGACTTGTATGTTTCCATCTGCGGGGGAAGGCAGGGCTAAGGGAGGTCTCCAGGCATCCTAATGCTTTACCCAAGCACCAGCCACATCCTTCTGGGGCCCGAGACAAACACTTTTTACCTGAGATGGCTGTTGCGGTCCCATTGCGGTCTTGAGAGACAGGGTATGGCATGGTAATTCCAAGAGGACTTAGTGTGGTGGCTTCCTGGCTGGACACATTTGCGGAAACAGTTGAACTTGTATGTGAGGTGGCTGACTCTGTGGTAACAGTGGTCCTGGTTTGTGTATTTGTGAACCCAGAGGCTATCGAGAAACAAGGAGGAAAAGTCAGAACCTAAATCATCCTGGAGACTTAGGACATCATGACATCAAGACTATCCTCCTGGACAGGAGAATTTCTCACTGCTAGATTTTCCCTAAGAAGATAAGGAAGGAAAGGCTTGTACGCATCAAGTGTCCAGTATAGTACCATTTGCAGGAGGGAAAAGTTGCAAACAGCTAAATGAATTTCAATGGGATAACTGCTGTATGCGCTTAACGTACCAGAATCATTACAAATAAAGAAATATAAAAAAACTAAAGCCACATGAGAATACGAGGCAATGTTTAGAACATGTTAAATAGAATATTAAAATATCAACTTATATCTGAGTAAACATTGCAAAGATCTAAAGTATGGGGGAAGATTTCCTTTTTAACGTGTCTGTCTCTCTTTCTGTCACCCTCCAGCCGTTCCATTCATATACTCTGGGAATAGCCACTAGATTCATGCCACCTCTATTCAATCCCCTTAAAAATCTTCTATCTGTCCAAGACTCCCCCATTCCCAAACTCTAGTCTTTCCCTCATGGCCTGCAAACCCATCCTCCTTGCCTTTTGTTGAGAAACTCAGTAAGTGACCCCACGATTTCTTTTAAGAACCTCTGACCAGTGGATGTTCTAGAGAACTTAAGGCCTGGTTTCTCATCAAATGTAGGAAGATAGCTTAGTTCTGCCTTCTCCAATAACTAGGTAGTTTAATGTGCGTGTGTGCGTGTGTGTGTGTGTGTGTGTGTGTGTGTGTGTTTACCAACCTCTAAGAGTGAGGGTCTTTCCTTACCTGGATTGTTTTGGGAGAATTAATGACAAATAACTTAAATTGATATAGTATAATATTCCTGGATTGAATTATTCTCTGAAGATCTTCATGAGGGTCCTTGTCCTTCTGTGTTTCCTAGGGGTACCTATCAATGACATCCTTACATCCAGAAAGGAGAAACTTCCCTGAACGTTAGAGTCTGTATTCTATTCCTCCTCCTACTCTGCCCTGCTCCCAACCATGAGGCGTCCATGGGGCCAACAGAGATGTACCCTCTCGTCTAGATCATACGCTGGGGACCAGAACTCCTAGAAATTCTTGCCCAAATGCCTCTTTTCTCACTTGAGGATCCTCATGGGGCCTTTTCTCCCAGTCCATCCTTCTGAGGGTGAACCGCAGTACCAGGGTATGGACCTCCAAGGCACAAGGGTGGCCAAGAGGTGGCAGTTTCAGGGAGAAGGTGTACACATGAAGCATGCGGATAGTGTGTCCCTTGCATGCATGCAAGATCCCCTACAGTGAGCCAGGGTTGGGGGTAAAAAGAAGAGAAGCGGGACAGGAGGGAGCCAAGGGCCATCTCTTCCTGCTCAGCCACACGGTGGCACTGAATTCTGAGACTGAGAGGGTCCCAAATTCAAACCCGGCCTTCCAGGTGGCCATTGGGTATGTTTTTCAAGGTAAGGGGATAGAGGACATTTCATTTATAAGCTCACAGGCCTGATTGTAACTTTGAAGTATTTAGACATATGGTATGAGGGCCTCTATTCCATTCTTGGCTTGGGCCCCATAAATGCTATAGGATCGACTTGGTACCCAGAGCTCAGCACCCACAGTACCACCCTCAAGGAAAGGCCCCTGAGGATCCCAGGCCACCCTAAAGCTTGTCTTTCAATTTTCCTGATTGAGATCTACAGCTGTAATTTTGGGAGGTCTCCAGGTAAATGGCAATGTAGACTGACAACTCTTCTTTCCCTCAGCATCAAGAGGGAAGTTAGGCATTAGTTTCAATGCTTCCCCTAAAAGCAGTGACAAGTCTCACTGTCCCACATCTGCCTCCCTTCCCACCTGCTGCAAGTAGATGGATATAAATGGTGAATGAGGGGCGCCTGGGTGGCGCAGTCGGTTAAGCATCCGACTTCAACCAGGTCACGATCTCGCGGTCCGTGAGTTCGAGCCCCGCGTCGGGCTCTGGGCTGATGGCTCAGAGCCTGGAGCCTGTTTCCGATTCTGTGTCTCCCTCTCTCTCTGCCCCTCCCCCGTTCATGCTCTGTCTCTCTCTGTCCCAAAAATAAATAAACTTTGAAAAAAAAAAAAAAAAAAAGCTTTAAAAAAAAAAAAAAAAAATGGTGAATGCAACAATCATATCTTGACATTACGTGCATGTGAGCAGGAGGATGAAATGATAGTACCACCTGCATTTTAGAGATAAGAGCCTGAATCACGCAAGGTTTTGGCCAAGAGGGGAGGCCGTAGTTCAGCGCAGGGAACACTGGGGCCACTGAGGTTTAGCTGACTCTTGAGTAGAAGTAGCAAGAAGGTCAGAGAGTCGAAACTGCTAAGAACCAGGATGCATCCTCCGCACCTCTGGAGAGAAAAGGATGGGCTCCTACCTGGGTTAGGCAGGAGGTGGGTTTACCAAAATGAAATAGGTGTGAAAGCAGACCCAGTCTTCCCCGGGCCCTTAGACAGGACCCGCTCAGCAATCTGCCCCTAAGCTATGAACTCACCACAGGGGGCGGGTGGCGGGAGCAGGCGGATACTGACCTGAAGGATCATCCTCCCCAGGTACCATTCCAAGGCACCACTGGAACTCCCCGTTGACATCATTCTTCCTGCCCACCCTTTCCTCCTCTTCCTTCCAACACATCAGTTCCTGGGAATCCTATCTGGCTCAGGCTGACCCAGCCCTTTGCGCTTTCCAAAGAAAGCTGCGCCTGACTGAGGTGATGTCATGCTTTTGAAGCCCCTCCCCAGGGCCTCCTTCACCCAGACAAACAGTTCTGAACTCTTCCAGATGTGAGCGGAGACCTGCTGCTAGCTCGGAGGGCGGAGGGCCTGTGCCAGAGAAGTGAAGCGACTCTGGACCCAGGCCAGCTACCGACCCGCTGGGGTCGGGCTCCCAGCTGCCGCAGCCACCTCCCACCCACCACCGGGCCAAACGCTGAGGAGCAGGTAGCACGATCCACCTGCCAAGAAAATGAAATCCCAACCTCAGATGCATGGCCCTGAGCGCGCTGTGAGCAAGGAAGCCTCTGAGACCCTGGAGAAACAGGTCAAAGAGGGAGGGCAGAAAGGCAAGGCTAGGTGACGGGATACGTGAGGGGGTGTAGAGCGAGGGAACAAGGTGGTGGAAGACCTGGAGACCAATCCAACCGGGTGCTGCGGTGTAGGGACTAGCAGGCAGGAAGTGTCTTAATTTCACAGTCTCTAGGGCTCCCTTTCTGGAGCTCCCACGAAGAGACTGCACCTTGGAGGAAAAACATTTATAAGAATCAAGATCGACCACGTGTCTCTGTCTATCCTAGCTTCTCGCCCCCATCCAAGGCATTAAACTATCAAATGCTGACCTTTCTTGATCTGATTCTGTTCTCCAACTCTGTAAGGGAGCAATCGCGGCTTCCCAGTTCGATTCTAGGAAACGATCAACGAAACCTCCACTCCATTCCGTTCTAGACTGGAGCCTTCCAGACAAACAGCCGTTAGCCCCAACCCAACAGGGTGTTTACAGTACAATTTAAAATGAACAAAAGGCCATCTTATGTTGTTTACCTTCCATCCTACCTTTATTAACTGTGTCCCCCTAAGTACCCTATGTGACTCTAGATATCCTATTTGATCCTAACTCATGAGCTTGGGGCAAAGGGAAGAGACAAGATATCAGAAAGTTAGCGGAATAAGGATAAGAAGCCAAAGACGCCAAACAGAGGTCACAGAATTCATGGAGTAAAAGTTTTGCATTTAACTTACAGGTACTTATTCAGAGGCAATTATTCTTGTTTTACACCAAGTTCTAACAAGCTTGGTTATCTGATATCCTAGTTAAAGCTAAAAATTGGAGACTCTTAGAAGCAAACATCAAGGAGAAACGACAGTTTAAAAAAGAAGAAACAGATAAATGAAAAACAGACATGAGTATTAAAGCCCACACTGGTCATGGGATGCCTGCCTGGGTGGCTCAGTCGGTTGAGCACCAGACTTTGGCTCAGGTCATGATCTCCCGGTTCGTGGGTTCGAGCCCCGCATCATGCTCTGTGCTGACAGCTCGGAGCCTGGAGCCTGCTTCAGATTTTGTGTCTCCCTCTCTCTCTGCCCCTTCTCAGCTCACTCTCTCTTTCTCTCTCTCTCTCAAAAAAATAAATACATGTGAAAAAACACACACACTGGTCTGGAATCATTTACAGTAGGAGGAAATAAATATATACACCTTAGTAAGCATTAACAAAGTCACTGAGCTGCACCATAACTAAATTATTTTCATGATCCATCTGAGTCATGAAAGTTAAAGTCCTATTTCTGAGGGGTACACGGAGGAAGCAAAGGCATAATGTAATACATGTTTAAGAGATTCCTACCTACAATTAGTAAATTGGAGAATCTTTTCATCCTGAAAGAGGGCTTACAAATCCTCAGAGATCCAGAATGCTCTGCTACTTAAATAGCTAAATGCCTATGCTCTCCTATGCTCAGTCTTGCTTTCCAAAGACCCCCTTAGGTTTAGTTGTGGTTTTTTTGCTTTTTATTTTTTCTTTTTTTGTTTTTGTTTTTTGTTTTTTCTTGTGTGTGTGTTTTTTTTTTTTTTTTTTTTTTTTTTTTTTTTTTTTTTTTTTTTTTGCTGGTATTGTTTCCTGATCTCCTCCTGGCCAGCTAGCCCCGTTCCACCATTCCTTTCCAATTCTGCTGCCCTGCCTGAGAGGAGTTTCTTCCAGAAAATCTTGGGTGTCTCAGCCCACAGGGATATAGTAGCAGGAAGAAGAAGCCTGCTGGACTCTGCTGGGAACCCACAGCCCATGTTTCTGAGAAGAGAAGGAAACCTCAGAAGAAAGAGCTTGGGCTCTGCAGTCAGACCATGTTCAAAGGCTTCTCTACCATGTTCTAGCTGTGAGGGCTTGGGGGGAAGCTTCTTCAACTCTCTAAACATTCCCTATAAAATGGGAATAAAAATATTCCCTAACTCCTAGTTGTTTTGAGGAATAAAGGAGATAAGAAGCATAAAGCAGTTAGCCTCTCTGGTAAACGCTCAAGAAACAGCAGTTATCTTTAGTATAGGGCCCCTTCCTTCTGCTTCTCAGAGACCCTGAGACACGTCTCTCCACCACTTATCTGGCACAAAATCATAAACTCTGTTTCCTGAGTATAGGTCTTGTCACCTCAGTTACATTATAAATTTCTTTAGTGCCGGAAACATCTCTGATACTCGTTTGTTTTCTCAGGGTGCTTAGCACAATCCTCTGAGTTCAGAAAAAGCACTTAGATTGAATGGCGACCATGTCAGGCATGTTCATACCAACCAACCACATCTATGTAGCGTGGTCTCATTCAATGCCGTATTTTAGGAGGGAGTTTGTTAAATTAGGGAGTGTCCGTGAAAGGATAACCAGAATTAGGAGAGCTCTAGAAAGCAAGTCATATGGTTGAGGGCCAGGAGTTATTTCATCTAGATCAGGGGTCTGCAAATAGCTGGCGGACCAAATCCACCCGCGGGCTGTCTGTTGTACGGCCAGGGAGCTAAGAAGGGCTTTTACATGCTTAAAGTGTTGTATAATTAAACAGAGTAGAATATGCCTAAGAGACTACATATGGCTTCCAGAGTCTAAAATATTTCCTATGTGGCTCTTGACAGAAAAAGTTTGCTAACCTCTGATCCAGAAAAGAAGAATTTGGGGAGGGAGAATAAGTAACTTTCTTCAAGATTCATTTCATGCATGTATTCATTCGTATTGGTCATAAGCACCCATGACGTGCAAAGGACCATGCACAGAAGAAAAGAAAATTCTTTCCTGAGGTTTGGGGTTAAGGTCATGACAATTTCAACAAATCCCTGTCCTCAAGGAGCTTTATAATCTAGTGGGGCCAGAAAGATCGTTAAGGATTGTCTTGAAGAAGGATCATATTAATTCCATGGTAGTTTAAAGAAGAGAATTAGATTAGAAGCCACTGAAGATTAGCCAATTCTAATTAAGAATAGAAGTTAATGATCAGATGATTCAAGAAAGCTAATTTCATTGTAACACAAAGTAAGGCTTAAAATGCCGGGGGGGGGGGGGCTTACTATTATTTTTTTTAATGGAATGAACAACTCTGGGAGGTGGTGAGCCACCCATCTTCTCCGGGAACATTTAGGAAGCATCCTTGTTACAGGTCTCCCCGAGTCTGGGCATCTTGGACCAGAACAAAGAACTGGGCTGATGCCTTCCTATGGTTTAGTGGCTCACTGAGACGTGAGCGTAAACCAAGCGTCTGTGGCCTGAGTGAACAGCGGACTCTGACCTCTCTTTAATATTCAAATACCTTGTCTTGGACCCCATCGACTTACCACGGAAGCCTGGTCTCCTGCACTTTCTCTGGGGGCCCACTTTTCTCCCAGTCACCTCTTCCTTCATTCCCCTAATCGCCACTGACTCTCTTTCTGCAACTCTGTGCCTCCCTGTGCTCAGGCACTGTGGTTCTGCTTCACCGTAGGCCAGCCGAGGACTTGTTCCTTTATTCCCCGCAAAGCACACTAACACCAGGCGGGCGTGTGTTTATCAAAGGTTTGAGAGCACGGAGCCAGATTACAGCCCAGCCCGGAAGAGACAACGGCATAAGCCTGAAATTCCAGACATTACTGTGCTAAGCATGCATGCCACACCGTAAGGAGTTTCTCCTCGCTGGGTCTTTTCCACCCTCAGGCACCACTGCCTCTCTGATGGTCCAGGCACCTCCCTTCCTCTCTCTCTACTCCTTCTGGGCTCTGCATTCCCTCAGCCGGTGTCTCTCGGGCCCATCAAACACAAAGTTCCGATGTATTCTACCATGCTCAGCAATGAACCTCCTGTCTGCCCCTGAACCTCCAAGGCCCGTCCAGGGGTCCAGGTTACTTTCACCCAGAGACTCGTTAAGGCATTTTCTGTAACAACAGAACTCGCTACCTAGAAGTGCCATCCCACTAAAAGGTACCAGCTGTGGGTTCTTTGGGGTCTTTCCCCGCCAAACCAGGAAGAAGCAGATGAAGCCAACTAAGCCCAAAGGCCTTTTCTTTTACATCCAAAGGGAAGCGACTGGTCCCCGGGGTGGGCCCCAGAGTGCAGGTGCTAAGAAGTCCACCTTGGCCCGTCCCCCGTTCATTGGCCTCTCACTCTCCCAAGACGCACGCATCTTTCTCCTTAGCAAAGTCAGGGGCCGTGGAGACTAAAAATTGTAGATAATGTGTTTTTATTTCGTAGCTGAGGAGGGAAGAGAATGTTCTCATTAGAGAAGTCAAGACCCAGACAAATAGGAAATTCTGCCCTGGCAACTTGGAGCATTTTCTTTTGGAGGGTGGTGTTTTTGTTCTTGTTTCCATACCTTCACCTTCTGAATTCTCCACACTTGGGGGCCATTTAAGTTAGATCAGGCAAAGTCAAGGAGAGAGGGAGGCCAGGCCCCCCGAGGGTGGAGCCGAATAGCCATCCAGCCCTGAAAGTGAGCCCAGGCCCTCCTGCCCAGGGTCTAAAGGAAATCAGGCAGTGAGACCATACGGAGTGGAATTTGTTCCTACTTTTTTATTTGTTTTTGTAAGACTCTGCGCCCGAGTTTATCTGCTGCAGTTTGGCACTCCTTGCCCCGAGCTTTTGGAGACAAAGACTCAAAGTAGGAAGAACAGGAGGACAAGTGAACAAGGAGGCCCAGGAGGTGGAGCTAAAGGGATAAGAAAAAGATGCCCAGAAGTGTTTTATCCGTCAAACAGGAAGGCCGTGGAAGACTTGCATTTGCAAAGGTTGTGCCAGCTGGACTGGCCCGACAAGGGGACCACTGGGGACCACTGAATTAGTCAGAGGTCCCCAAGGCTGCTCCTCGTCGGTCGCTATATGGCAGAGAGTCAAAGGGTGGAGTCCTCTCTCCTCTGGAAAATATCTGATAAAATTCTTTTCCCTTTTCTTTTTTCCCCTCTTACACGTAGCCCCAGACAGGATATGGGTGTGGGGTCAGCATGCACGACGGAAGAAGAGGAATGTGAAGGGGCGGGCCTTGGGGGGGGGTGTCCTTACAGAGGGAGGAAGGAGATAGGCCATGGAGGGCTTGGAGGGGACAGACACCCGGAGGCCCACAAATGGGGCTTCCTAATAACCTGAAAGGCTTCTCTTACCTGTTGGTGGCAGGGGAGTGCTACCTGGCGCCTCATTCTGACTCTGGTCGCCCCCCAAAGCAGCTTCATCTGCAACAAAAAGAGTCTACTTTTGGTCGGACCGCTGTGCCCATCTTTACGCCAACTTCTCACAGAGCACAGAAAGACCTTCCCAGAACAAAGCCCTCTGTCAGTGTACATGATGAGAAGACCCCCGGTGCCCTAAAGTTTGCAATAATCACACGGAACTCCTGCAAATGTCCCTCGGTCAGCGTTTCAAGGTACAGTCACTCACTCATCTATCCCCCAATGTAGACCAGGACAGAAAATGACTCCCAGTGTTAAAGAAAGAAACAAACCCTAGAAAGTTCTCAGGCAAGACGAAAGGCTACACATTGGCTCAAGTAGTCTGGCAAGATTGAGGGTCGGGACCCATGTCCCAGCTGTCACCCCCAAAGCTGAGACGGTGAGATTCTCGGCATATCTGCCCCAGATTTTGCAGGAGTTAAGTCGCTCCCCCCACCCCCCACTATGAGCCAAGGCGAGACTGAGACTGGCCAGCTGAGGAAATAAAAAAAGGGTGGGCCTCACTCGGCCCAGGACCAGGTCATCATGAGCTGTGTAAAGGAGAGTGAAGCATCTGATCAGCTGTTGATCGGCTCCACTGTGTTATGAGGGTGCCGTCTAGCACCCAGGGGAGTTCCCCTATCCTAGTGTTTCCACATTGAAATGACAGCTTTTTCTCTGCCCCAGAGGGCAGGTCTGGGGCTGCCGAACTGGTCAACTCAGAGCCTAACTTAGAGCTTTCCCAAGCCCGGAGTCTCTCTCCAACTGGGTGGGCCCAACGCTGACACCAGAGGACACTGAGAGCAAAGGAGTCCCTGGCAGGCCCAGGTCACTCTGTGGGGCCATAGTGGGTGGCCTGTAGGATGAGTACGTGTAGGGAACTGGGGGCCCTAGAGGGCTGGAAGCAGAATCTTGAGCAAAAAGGAGAACAGCTTACAATGTTTAAAACCCTCTAAAGGCAATGAGAGGAGATAGAGAATGCTCTCCCCAAATGAAAGCAATTAAGAATAAATACTTACTGTCTATGATTTCTTTACCAAAGTGAGAGCAAGATCCTAAGAAGTAGGAGCAAGTGTGGGTGAGCAGAAGGGTGTCCACGAGCCTGCTGACATATTCCCTAGTTCTAGAACTTGGAGGGGGAAGAGGAAGAATGCCCCCAAATGTAACAGGTTGGAGTTGGTGCCAGGGTCGGGGGGGGGGGGGGGGGGTGGCGATGGGGAGACGGAGGCAGGGCGCACAACAGACCCCATCTGCTGCCACCTTCTCTCCAGGGGAGTGGGTGTGGGTGTCGGAAGAGGGAGTTGTAATTTAGCTTTCAGATCTTAAATGTAAGCATTCTTTCCCGGACTGTTGTTCATTCCACACCCCCTGGTCACCTCACTCAGCCTGCCTCCGGCGCCTCCTGGGCGTTGGAGCTGGGGCCTTGTCCCAGGTTGGCCTCTCTCCCATCCTTAAATTTCGGGCTCGCCCAGTGCCGGTGGTGGTGGTGGTGGTGGTGGTCGGTGGGCGCCTGCGCTCTCTTCCCAGCACCCGCTCCGGCCTGGGCTTTCTCAATCAACCCCCAGGCGCAAAACTTTTCCTGCTTCTGTCCCCCCCTCTCCTGGCTCTGGCTCCATCTTTGCGCTCCGGACCTTTGGCCACAGCCTCTGGCATCTTCGAAGCGCTGTACTTTAGAGACAGTGCGAACGAGTCGCACTGTTCCACTACCGGGAAGCTCAGAGAGCTCCGCCCGGTTTACACCTGGGCTGGTTGACACTCGCGGCGCGGTCGCCCGCCCTGCCTCCCCGTCCACCCCAGCGCTTCCCAGGTAGTGCGCCGGTCCCAGGGCGGCCCTGGTCCCACCGGAGCCGGGAGCCGCCGTGGGCGCGGGGCGTGGGTTGGGGCAGCTGGGGGGGGGGGGTCCCTTCCCTGCGCGTCCCCGGGCTCTGCGCGCTCGGCTCCGGGAGAGCGGGACCCTCCCCGCCGCCCGGGCGCGCGGCCGGTACTCACGCAGCAGACTGAGCAGGCAGAGCGCGGTCCAGCCCCGCGGCATCCCGCGCCCGGCGCGCGCGCCCCTGCCGACCAGCATCCTTCCCGCGCCGCTCCGCAGAGATGCGCACAGCCCGAGACGCGCTCGGCCCGCGGGACGCGCTGCCCCCGCCCTCCGCCCGGGAGCGGGGTGGGCGATCGGGCTTTTTCCCCTCCCCTCCCTCTATATTCCTGGCAAGGCCGGCCCCTCTCCTTGGCCGCCACAACCGTGAGCTTCCCCACTTGGTCCCACAGGCGGAGGACGTTAGCAGGGGCTGGGGTTGCCGCCGTGGAGGCCAAAAAAGGTGGAGGTTTGTGCGGGCCCCAGATACTTGTTCAACTTTATATAGAGGCCCCGTCTTACTCCTTCAAGCTCAACTTCCACTCGACTTTTAACCCCTTTGTGTCAGCCTGGCCGGTGGCGGGGGGCAAGTTTCCCCTGACTTCTGTGTGCTTGTGTGTGCGTGTGCGTGTGTGTGTGCGCGCGCGCCTGTGTGTGTGTTTTCTTTCCTTTTTGTTTTCCTTTATTTTTAACTTTTGAGCCGAGAACCATCTTGCCAAAAGGACTCTACTGTGAGGACCCTAGTTTACAAAAGTGAGCATTTTGCTAATCAGGTAAAAACGTAGCCCCTGCCCAATCTGATGCATTTAATGACAGTCACACCAGAGACTGTGCTGCATGTTAATGAAGCATGAAGAGTGAGCAGGACACATAAATAACTGTAATTATTCATTTCACCCGTCCAAACCATCCTTATTGATTTTCTTTTCACTTTTTTCCCCTGCAAGATCTGTCTGTGTTAATTTGGAGGCGTTTTTCCTGTGACCGTTCCTAATTTTCCACGTACTTTGAGCCTGTCACCATCGCCATAAAAACAAAGGACTCTCCTGGCATCTGGGACACCCTCTCTCCCGTCACCTCCTCTCCAGCTCTGGGTCTGAGACTCTACAGGCTTTGTCTAGCTCTTTCATCAGGAAAAGGACTTCCCCTGACCCCACCCTCTACTACCTGTGGATCCTGGAGCTCCCTCTTCCTCACTAGTTGTTCTAGATGTTGGTAATCTGAACTGCAGAAACTCTGAGCTGGGCTGTCAGCCTTGTGGCAGACTGGATTGGATGGGGGAGGAAGACGCTGGAGGGGAGAGGGGCCGGAGGCGGAGATGATGGCACCAGGGAGCAGATAAGGGAAGCCACAGTCTGCGAACATGCTCTGAGATCCTGAATGGAATCACAGGATTACTAACACCCAGTCGGGTCTCTCCCATGATATGCGCCCTGTACAGCCCAAGTTGGGAGGAAGGAAGGTCAGACCAGCCCCCTCTGATCTTTCCTGAGTTATTTGTCTGCAGACTCCTTAACATCACGAAAGCAGACTTATCTTTATGGTCCTTCTCTGATTTACTATTATTTGGTTTGTACCGGAGAGAGAAATGGACCCAGGTCTGGAAACAAAGCTCAAAGCTCTCTATTCCGATCTTGTTGGCTAACTTGTCTTTAAATACGAAACAAAGCCTTTCATCACGTAATAAAACCAAAGGCTTAAGATGCAAATTTGATAGAATACAATGGTATGGGTATGAATCTCTCTCAAAGTGCAAATGGTGATTTGGATCTGACCACATTGTGAGATCTCAAAGGCCTGGAGCTAGGGGCAGAAAAAGCTGAAAAATACATGTTTAAATCAGGCCTTTGTCCTTGGGACTCCCAATTAATAGAGAAAAGAGGTTAGCTCCTCTTCCAACCCCTCTCTCAACTCCCCCTCAACATTCTCAGCTCCGGAGACTGGGTCTGCTTCACACCCAGAGGTTGTGAACAAAATGTGGACTTATAATCCTTGCTAGATAGGAAAACCAATTTGGTCAGTGTGGATCTTCCTTCATTCTCAGTAGTTTCTTTTCGTTACTTCAAATGCCATTTGTCTGCCCTAACTGGGCCCCAGAAGATAGGAAAGAATTTGTTTCTAGTACCTGAATTTCTTAACTAGCTCTGGAGCAGAGCTTCTTCTCAAAGCGTGGTTTACACAGAATGAAGGTTAAGGTGTGCGAATCTGCACTTTACATAGGTACTCTCCGTAATTCTTTTTTTTTTTATTCTTTTCAAATTTGTATTTAAATACTAGTTAGTTAATACACAGTGCAAAATCGGTTTCAGCAGAATTCAGTGATTCATCACTTACATAAAACAGCCAGTGCTCATCATAACAAATGCCCTCCTTAACGCCCATCGCCACCTAGCCCATCACCCCCACCCCACCCTCCCTCCATCAACCCTTAAGGGTCTCTTACGGTTTGTTTCCCTCTCTTTTTTCCCCCTCCCATATGTTCATCTCTTTTGTTTCTTAAATCCCACACATGAGTGAAATCCTATGGTATTTGTTTTTCTCTGACTGACTTATTTCACTTAGCATAATACACTCCAGCTCCAACCACGTTGGTGCAAATGGCAATAATTCATTCTTTTTGATGGCTAGGTAATATTCTATTATATATATTTTTATATATCTTCTTTGCCCATTTATCAGTTGATGGATATTTGGGCTCTCTCCATAGTTTGGCTATTGTTGATAATGCTGCTATAAACGTTGGGGTGCATGTACCTGTTCAAATCTGTATTTTTGTCTCCTTTCATTTTCCGTGATTCGTACGCACACTAAGTTCAAGAAGCCCTAGTTTAGAAAGAAGACATGCTCCATGCAAAGTGGCTGGCTTACTTCAGAGAGGAAAAATAGGAGTGTAGGGAAGGGAGGCTGACCCATCCCTTCTTCTAAGAAACCGGATCTGTTCTTCTCTGGTCTGCACCACAACTATGACACTGGGTGATAACTGGCTACCCTTCCTATTTTCCAAGGTCGTTGAGACTCACCACTTCATGCACACACAAGCTTGTGGCAACCACCCACAAACTCAGGTTCAGGCAGGCCACTGGACACAAGTCCGTCCTGGGGCCCCTGCCTTATGTTTCCTCACAGTCATACAGAGGTGAGCTATCAAGTGTCTTCAAAGCTCTAGCCTTTCTTGGCTACCCCTTGGTGTCTCTGCCCCCTGCTTCATCCCATAAGCTGGTGCTAGAAGAAGTTACCTACATGGCACATAGTGGAGGGTGCAACAGAAAGATCCAGAGTGAGAGGCTCTGTCGGGCCCTTTATAAACCTCTAGGTTATGACCACCCTCACCATGGGATGTCGTCCCTCCCCAGACCCAACCCTTCCATGTCATATCAACCAATTTAAAATAGTCCCCCCCATCCCATGCTAAATAGACTTCTTTGATATAAAAAAAATAAGGGGAAAGGTCTAAAAATTTTGAGTTTTAAAGTACATTCCTCATTTGGTTCTTGTAATTCAAACTTTATTACGTTTCTATAAAAGTGTTAAAGAGTTGAATTGTGGTTTACAAGTTGGCCGAGTTTACCTTTTATAGACGGTTAAGAAAACTTTTGTTCATTTTGATTTTCCAGTTTCATATTTTGGAACCAGCACCTTTTTCCCATGTTGCAAACTAGTTTTGGCTCTTTGAAAACTCTCAGGGTTTAAACCCCAGTTTGGCAGGGAGGAGGCCTGGGTGGCAGAGGTGTTTGGAGGCCACAGGGAGGCCGTGAGGACTTGAAGTCAGAAGTGAATCCCTTCTTTTCTCTTCCTGCCCCCCATTCCCTCTCCAGCACATCCTTTAGGCAGAACCTAACTAGAAAACCACTGAAAAGGGGGTCTGGGAAATGTGGCATAGAGATTCCTGGCCCCAGTGTCCTGTGGGAAATTAGGCCCATGTAGTGTTAGCCTCCAAGTATGCCATAGGCAGGCTGTAGAGGCCACGGACCAGGAAGGCTCAGGACAAATTATGATGATCAGATCACAAAGGTTATTGAATCCATTTAAAACATACAGTCAGAAATAAGAGGAAAGAGGGGCGCCTGGGTGGCGCAGTCGGTTAAGCGTCCGACTTCAGCCAGGTCACGATCTCGCGGTCCGTGAGTTCGAGCCCCACGTCGGGCTCTGGGCTGACAGCTCAGAGCCTGGAGCCTGTTTCGGATTCTGTGTCTCCCTCTCTCTCTGCCCCTCCCCCGTTCATGCTCTGTCTCTCTCTGTCCCAAAAATAAATAAATGTTGAAAAAAAAATTTTTTTAAAAAAAAAAGAAAGAAATAAGAGGAAAGAGTGGGGGTAGGTTAACCTGCTTGGGATAGGAAGCAAGCAGGGTCAATGGACCCTACTCTCTTGTGTTAATGCTCTGATAGCATAGTTATGAGGACAAGAATTGAGGTTCAGTAAGGGATAAGTAGATAGAGGATTGATGGAACCAATGTTGCAACCAACTGGTTCGCAACCAATGCTTGCTCTATTGGGAGGTGCAAGGACAGATTGGCCTGGCCACAGGTCTGCCACATGGCTAGTCCGTGTTCTGTCCCTTTTCAGCATTTCTGAAGCAGAACATACAGGAGTCAGAATGGTGTCACCAATAGGTAGACAATTTAGGGAGATAATGACCTGGCTGTCAACCCTTAAATGGTATGCTGTCTACCCTGTGATTTATGATTTAATGTTTCTATTCCTTTCTACCTGTAAGTAATAATCTTGTTTGTTCCACCCTTTTTACAGTATATTCGTCTTCTTTCTTTTTATGTTTATTTTTGAGAGAAAGAGAGAGATACACTGAGTGTGAGCGGGGGAAGGGCAGACAGAGGGAGACACAGAATCCGAAGCAGGCTCCAGGCTCTGAGCTGTCAGTACGGAGCCCGAGGCGGGGCTCGAAATCACAAACTATGAGGTCATGACCTGAGCAGAAGTTGAAAGCCTAACCAATGAGCCACCCAGGTGAACTGCCCACCCCCCCCCAATTTATTTTTACATGTCTTCGCAGATTACAATCTTGCTACCTATTTTTAGCACATCTGAATTCTGCCTCTGTCTCACAAGACTTGCTTACTTATTATCTGTAGTTAATACAACTGATGAATTTTGCCCATCTTGTTTGCTTTCCTTGGCCTCTGTAGAAGAATTGAATGTTCTCACAGAATGGAGCAAACACACAGTGTACA